CAATCCATTAAATTTATAGAGGTTGTTTACATTGTTCGAAAGTTCAAAATTACGGGTTATACAACTAAGCGTGCGGTAAAACGTTTTACCGCACGCTCTCATACGTGGAACCGTGCGTACCCTTTACGGATTTTTTTAAATTTCGGTCGAATCTCGTTACAATATAAATATAAATATTACAAATAGATTTAAAGGTTTTCCACCTTTAAATCTATTTGTTTCACTTTAATACTAAAGGATGAAGCTTTCGTCTCTTTTTCTTTTTAACCGACTTCGAGAAAGGAGGAGGTTCTATGTTCGACTGTATATTTTTTTATGTATGTTCACCGATTTCTCCGTCAATTGTGAACCGATTTCCAAAATTCTTTTTTTATTCGAAAGAGTGCACTTCCGAGGTGGTGCCATTGGAACCAAGTCAGGATCTGATGGTGGAATCCGGGGAAATCGAGGGAAACCTTAAAATTTCAAAGGCACGCACGATGTTTTTTTATGCATGTTCACCGATTTCTCCGTCAATTGTGTTATTGTATACTTGGACGATGTAATTTTCACTAGTGGATAAAATAAAAAAAAAAAAACAAAAAATAAAACCGACTCCGAAATCGAAAATGAAACTAAAAAGTAAAAAATAATATCTGGTTCATGATTTGGAAGTCTTGCGGGATCAAGATTGAAACATTAAATAGATTTTCGTTTCTGATCGGTAATAATAAGTCGTTCAATCTTGACTCGCCCGACTTCCAAATCATGAACCAGATATTATTTTTTACTTTTTAGTTCCATTTTCGATTTAGAAGTCGGTTTTATTGGAACGAAAGTTCCTTACGGCAGGCTTGGAGGGGATAGGGATTTTGCTGCGCGACCGAACTGAAAAAAATGTGATAGTAAAACCGTAAGAAAAAATGCGTGGAATAAAACCGTTAAATGAGACGTGCGCAGGCGCGACGAAGTTCCTTACGGCAGGAGAGAGAGCGACGAGGGTGCATCACTGAAATATTGTGATATTACACCAACACTGAATATGTGTGAAGTTATAGGGAGTGGTAGAGCGACAAGGGTGCATCACTGAAATATTGTGATACTACACCAACAGTGAATATGTGTGAAGTTATAGGGGGTGGTAGAGCGACAAGGGTGCATCACTGAAATATTGTGATATTACACCAACACTGAATATGTGTGAAGTTATAGGGGGTGGTAGAGCGACGAGGGTGCATCACTGAAATATTGTTATATTACACCAACACTGAATATGTGTGAAGTTATAGGGGGTGGTAGAGCGACGAGGGTGCATCACTGAAATATTGTGATACTACACCAACAGTGAATATGTGTGAAGTTATGGGGGGTGGTAGAGCGACAAGGGTGCATCACTGAAATATTGTGATATTACACCAACACTGAATATGTGTGAAGTTATAGGGGGTGGTAGAGCGACGAGGGTGCATCACTGAAATATTGTTATATTACACCAACACTGAATATGTGTGAAGTTATAGGGGGCGATTCTACATTAGCTGAAGGAACTTCGTTCCTACCTGGTGTCCCACGACACCACATCATTTTTTTTTTGTTTATTTAGTATCTAATTTTCAACACTCGCACATGGCACCATTTGAAAATGCGCGCCATTATCTTATTAGAAATAGTTTGCTTCATTACATATATTAGGCTGGGCTCATTCATCATTCGTCTACTCGTTTGTAATAACCATCTTACCGCACTAATATCATAAATAACGATTACTATTTTATTTATGCGTCGGTAACAAAAGCTCAAAAAGGTACTAATTATAAAAAAATGTACAGGCACGGCTCGTACCTATATATGATTTAATAGTAATAATAATTTTTAAACGAAAATAGGCATTATTTGTAAATAAAGTTATTTTATTCCTAGAGGTGGTATCGATTAAACAGTTCACGAAGGATATCCAGGTCAAGCTGATCTTGACGACGATGCCGACGCTGAAAGCATTTGGTTAATTTATTGTTGGTCTGCACGCAAACCATTTTTACGAATAATAGTGTATTCAATTACCAATCGTTGTATTCAATTATCTATATGAAAGAATAATCACATTGAGTACTGACACTGAATGCTAACTAAAAAACAAAACCCCGAGAATTTATGTCAAAATAGGTAGTACCTACAGGTGAAAAATCTGTCCATATTTATCATTGTAATGTTAATTATTTTACTTAAATTATTCGCGAGATTCTCCGTCCTAGCACTCAATCACCCTTTTAATGGTAGGAAAGTCAAAACTGTACATTGAATATTTTTTTTGAATAATACCTACTTGGGGTGTGATCTACAATCAATAGCGAAGCCAAAAATATAGTTTTTAGATTTTTTGTCTGTTTGTTTTTGTTAGTTAGAATATAGATAAACTCAAAAAGTACTGCATGGATTTACTTCAAATTTAGCACGAATATACACACACTTTTTTCACATAACCTCAAAATTTATGTGAAAAGTGCGAATAACCGAGTTTTTGGTTTTTATTTTTTGCAAAAAAAAAAATTTTTTCACGAAATTTGGTGAAAACTTACCTTTGTATGTCCCAAACATACAGTAATTTTTTTGATTTTAAATATTCATTTTTTCACCTTATTTTGACTTAATATCGAAAAAGCACCCTTATTTTCAATCGAAAATTCTCACGTCAAAATATCTGCTTTTTTAAAAAAGTTGGGGTGTTTTTTGTTTGTTGAAATCTCTACTTTCTGATGGTATAAAAAAAATATACACTACTATGGTAAATGTTCTCAGAAACTGCAAATTAATAATGAAAAAAACTCGAATCCGAAAATCCTATTTTTAATACCTACTTACAACAACTATTTTTGCATGTTTTATGGATTTGTAATTTTTCTGTTTATCAATCAATATAACATGAATTCTTACGTTTTTCGAGTAATTAAAGTGTAAATTTTAATAAATAGTTCAAAATTATACATAATGATTCAAATCAATTTTTCGGATTGGAGTTTTTTTCATTATTAATTTGCAGTTTCTGAGAACATTTACCATAGTAGTGTATATTTTTTTTATACCATCAGAAAGTAGAGATTTGAACAAACAAAAAACACCCCAACTTTTTTAAAAAAGCAGATATTTTGACGTGAGAATTTTCGATTGAAAATAAGGGTGCTTTTTCGATATTAAGTCAAAATAAGGTGAAAAAATGAATATTTAAAATCAAAAAAATTACTGTATGTTTGGGACATACAAAGGTAAGTTTTCACCAAATTTCGTGAAAAAATTTTTTTTTTTGCAAAAAATAAAAACCAAAAACTCGGTTATTCGCACTTTTCACATAAATTTTGAGGTTATGTGAAAAAAGTGTCGATACAAAAGTTGTAGATCTTTTTATTACCTACAACTTTGCCATTTAACTTTTTTTCATATGACTTGCAGTTTTACCGGAAATCGAGATTAACCATTTTTTACCCTTAAAAACTCACCCCCTCCCCCTTCCCGACCTCAGATCGCCCGTAATTTATTTTTCCTTTCATTTTTGTTATATTCTCTACCTTTTCTAATGGGTTTCATCATACTATAATTTTTTTTGGTCTCAAAAATTATCGACCCTGGTCTAGTATTAAAGAGCAGACACACTGCTGAAAGTATGCGTTCACGAGTATGACGTGGGAACCAGTTATCACTATGAATGAAACGACCCAGGCCGTACCTACCTACTCATGACTAACCTACGGATACCAAGGTTAAGATAGAAACAATATAATAAACTGACTAGTAATAACTGTAGGACATGTACAATTTTGCGTGCAAGATGATGATTTGTCACAACGATATTTAAAAAAAGTATAATAATTGTCACACACGGGTACATTTCAGTCACTGTTTGCCTTCTATTATACCTTGTAGAGTCCTGGAAACCTTACTTACTAACAGGAACACAACACCATCCAAATTATTATTCTACTAATCCCCCCAGCTATGCTATACCTTTCATAAACTACTGTACCTATATTATTTGATAGTTAATAAACCCTGACACCAATTAAAGGTGGCTCACGTCTCGATGACCTCATCATGTTCGAGCATTGTGACTCAATGTTTGTCGAAAATGGTCAAGAATTTCATTATAAGTTAGGTACACGTAACGTACTGATTTGATAAGTATGTACTCATTCATTATGATGTTCATATCTGGTTAGTGAGTGTGTGACTGTCTGGTTAGTGAGTCCAACCACTGATTGCGATTCGATTCCTGCCCGATACATAGTATGCTATGCAAGTTATAATTAATCTTAGCTAGATAAATGATTGGTCTCCGAGATCAATCTAAGTACCTAATTAGTGTTATTAACACTAACATGTACTACACTACCATTTAATACATCAAAACAAAGCAAAATACCAAATATTATGTATATAGTAGTGCTTTTGTTTTTCTTGTCTCAATCTCATTTACGTGTGCAACAAGGTAGCATTTTATAGCACTTGTCAAAATATTAAGAGGTAGGCAAGTATTATCTACCAAAATATTTACGGATTTTCAATATTGAGTACCAAAAATAGTTTCTACTCGTACCTGCCTTACTTATTCTAGTAAATTTATCAATTTTAAAATTATAAAGGCATCCTAGCATTTTGTAACATTTAATAAATTCATTAATGAGATCACATTCACTCACATGTATCGTACCAAGAAGAAAAAATCTACGTTTTATTGATAACTGTTAAACATTTATGAGCACTGAGTTTATTTGGATCAGAGCCGGTGTATGGTATCACAAAAGTAGATAATCATCAAAAGTGTCCGGAGTCCGGGGCCTAACGCGACCTTGATCGCAAGTACATAATTAATTTGATCCTTTTACACTTTTGAAGTGTGTGTTTTTGTCCATTATTTATTGTTAGATAAGGTACCACTTACTTACAAAAATGTTTTTCTATTTATATTATCATTAATGAATGTGCGACAATCGTTTCATACATATTAATGCTATTATTTTGTTTCGTTGCAGAATCAGTTAGCGGAAGCACGTGATGTGAAGTTTACTCAGACACTTAACGAACAGCTGTCGATAGGAGCGCACATAGTTTGCACGGGTACACCCAGCGAAGATTTGCCATGGTAAACAAACCTGTTTTTCAATATGATGTAGAATGTTGTAGTAGTTAACAAAATCTAATATAGGTATAGCTAGCTGTATTTGCAATTTGCTCTTTTTAACATTGCTATGGTCAACCACGAAACCCTACATTGCGCGTACGTGACACGTAGAAAAACACTTGGCCAGTTTTAAAAAAATAGTTAATGTTTTTCTAGCTGTCATAGGTAAGTAATCTGCCCGGATTGTGGAATGGTTCCAATACTATCTGAAACCTTGACCGTGTCACGGTAATATTATATATACACTTCTGGATACATCTATTGGCCCACCTTAGAGTTTAGGTTTCGATGGCCTCTACCGAAATATGATTGTTAGATTGAACAAAAACTGTTGATGCAGTTTTAAACCTGATACATTTTACCATCTTTTTCGATCGTATTGTTTTAAATTTGGATTCAGAATACCATACGACATGGAGCTACGCCTAAGAAGTCGGATATGCGCCTTGTTAAAGGCAATTGATTTTTGAATAAAAAACATGTTTTATCAAATAAAGGTTTAATTTAATAACGCGTGTTGCCTCCATGGGCATCTACCACAGCTCTCATACGATTAGGCATAGAATTTATCAACAGCTCTATGAAATTTTGAGGGATCATCTCCCATTCAAGGAAATTTGGGCCCACATAGTCTGCGTATGGTATCACGTGAGGTTCTAAGCACTCACGAATGTACCTTTCAGCATTGAATGTTGGCAGCCGTGGTCCTGTAACAACCTCAAGGTGAGTTTTGCCGCTCGCGGATATACCGCCCCAGACAGTCCATGAGCCACCGCCATAAGCAACCCTCTCTTCAAAGCAGCATTGTGCGAAACGCTCTCCCTTACGTCGGTAAACCTTCTTCCTTCCATCATTTCCATGTAACACAATTTTAGACTCATCAGAAAAGAGTACACGGCTCCAATCTTGCTGTGTCCAATTTAAATGACTGCGTGCGAAATGAAGGCGCGCTGTTCGGTGGGCTCGCGTTTATTAGCTGGCTTGTGTGGTACCATATCGCGTTCTTTTAACCTTCTCCGAACAGTTCGAGCGCTCACAGATACTCCGTGGAAGTCGCGAATTTGTTTTTGTATCTCAATGGAGGTAAGGTGACAATTTCTCAAGCTGGTCGTCACGATGAATCGAGCCTGCCTTTCAGTTGTGACCCGAGATCGTGGCCTTCCTTGGCGACGAACAAAGCCGCCAGTCTCTAGGTACCTCCGATAAACATTTCGGACCGCAGATCGACTTAAATTAAGTTGAGCACTCACGTTTCTTTGGCTGTGTCCGGCCTGAATAAGTGCCACAGCTTGGGCGGCGACTTCAGGTGAAGTATCCATAGATTATTGATAGAACCTCACCTTAATGTTAAGAATAAGTAATGTTTGTTGCAAAACCAAAGATATCAATCACTTTTTCAAGAATTAAATCCAAGTAAACATATAAAATAAAGTTTTCTTAGTACTCGATTGTTTGATATCAACAAAAAGACTCCAAATTGTCTTTTGTTTCTTTAAATTCTGTGTTCGAAATTCAAAAAAAGACTATTGAATGCAATTGTGAATGTGCCAGGTTCAAAACTGCATAAAAACTTTTTGCTCGACCTAATATAAAATTTTAGCTAGGACCAAACGAAACTGAAAATACAAGGTGGGCCAATAGATGTGTCCAGAAGTGTATATATGTTACGCTCAAAGATCGGAAACGCTCAGTGAGCGGAAAAATAGCTTACAACGCGTTGTGGTCACAGTAAAACATCCACATGGCGAAATTCGTGTTATGGCTCTAATGTAAACGCGCACGACGCGTTGTGGCATTCACAGAAAGACCAAATAGCGAAATTCGTGTCGTGGCTAGGCTTGCCAGGTGTCCGGCTTTAGCCGGACATGTTTGGCTTTTTGCGGTCGCGTCCGGCCAAATATGTACGTGTTTGGCCTGTCCGGCTTTTGTCAGGCTTTTTGTCAGAGTGGCGATTCGTACAATGATGGGCGGACGAGCGTCCGAGCGGACAAGAGAGCATCCATCTGCGATCTCATTCTCACGTATAAAATATAAATACTTTTTTCAACAGCCCATCTGTAAAAACATTGTTTGGCAATAAAAAAATATGTCCGGCTTTTAGGGCAAAATGTCAGGCCTTACATAGTGCTCAGTCCGGCCTTTGCATTTTATGGCCTGGCAACCTTAGTCGTGGCTGACATGCTATTCGATCTCAACGCGTTGTGGCTAGGGATGTTCGATACTTTTGATTCGATACCAAGTATTTATAGCATCGTACCAAGTATTTATAGCATCGAATCAATCTTGCGATGAATACTCTGTATCGAAACAAAAGTACTTGGTATCAAATCGAACCAGCATGCCCATATAAAAAAAAATCCGAACGCATCAGACAGTATGAGAGAGCAAAAGCCCTCTCGCTCGGTTACCGGTATTCATCGCGTAGCGGCGTGGTGGGTGACGCGTCGTGTCTCGCGCCAGGCGAGCCGAACTCGTCCGACTTCATCCGAGTCCGAGTCGAAAACGAGAGAGCTGCCCACCCGCCATTTAAGTTGTCATCATTGTCAACATAATGAATTGTCAAGTCGAGATTTCATTTGAATATACAAGTGATTGTTTTCGAGTAATTTTATTTATTGTAATCATCGGCTTATTATACCAATGTTATCATGGCACCACCAAAATCAATAAAATTTTACCAAAACAAACGAAACAATTGCAAAATGTAAACAATGTTTTAAGTCTGTGAAGTAATGTGGCAATGTCCCCAATTTATTCAAGCATTTTGAGACTCATGGAATTTCTGTGGATAAAGACAATTTAGAGAAAAAGCAAATACAGGGACCAACGAAAGGTAGGATCCTATACTTTTCTTTTTTGCGACTGCTCTCCTAAAATGTTAAATAATCTCTTTGGATTCCTAAAATGTTAAAAAAACGTGACGCAAAACGTTTATAATAAAAGATTTTTTGCTTCTCAATTTTGTTTTAATTATTGTTCTTCAACATTCATTGTTTTTTCTTTAGTTTCCTCAAAGTAAAAAATAAATTAAAATTATCGATATCAGTAAGTATCGATACTTTAGGAGTATTATTTAAGTAGTATCGAAAAAAGATTTGAGTATTATCGAAATAAGTAGGTATCGATACCTTGATAGTATCGGAACATTCCTAGTTGTGGCAATGAAGAAAAGCCATGACGCGTTCTGAGCATTCATTGTTTTAACCATATCACGACGAACAGGTTGTAACTTGTCAGTGTCGGCTCGGGTGCAAAGATGCATTGAAACATCAGTTTTATTAATTTCTTTTCTGTTTATGAGAGTGAATTTTAATGTCAGCGCTAATTATGACGAATAAAATCTCATAAACAGAAAAGAAATGAATAAAACTGACGTTTCAATGCATCTTTGCACCCGAGCCGACACCGACAAGTTACAACCTGTCCGTCGTGATATGGTTAAAACAATGAATGCTCAGAACGCGTCATGGCTTTTCTTCATTGCCACTACGCGTTGTGATCGAATAGCATGTCAGCCACGACACGAATTTCGCTATTTGGTCTTTCTGTGATTACCACAACGCGTCGTGCGCATTTTTATTGGAGCCATAACACGAATTTCGCCATGTGGATGTTTTACTGTGACCACAACGCGTTGTGAGCTATTTTTCCGCTCACTGAGCGGTTTCGATCTTTGAGCGTAACAGATATATATATATATATATATATATATATATATATATATATATATATATATATATTACCGTGACCGTGTGTTTTTTTTAAGACAAATTGATCTTGAGATTTATAAATGTAAATCTAGCAGCTAAATGCTTAAAATATAATACATGCATTAAAATTCCACCGGTATGACGTCACTTTAGCATTACCTACTTAGGCCAACTTTTGTTGGGATTGATGGAGAATGGGTTTCCTGTTAACATTTATTTGTATACCTTATAGTTATGTTTTTATTTTTAAGCATTTAACTGCTGGCTGCTGGATGTATTAATCTAAAGAAAAGATTACTAGAAAAAAAATCTCTTCGCATTGTAGGTAATCCACAATGTCAAATAAATACTTTTACAAGTATTAAACATTTGAAAGAAGAAATAGCAATTATGCTATTTAAACAATTACTATGTCAGGGTCACGGCCACTAATATACCTATTAGGATTGCCATTCAATAGTATACCTTATGTTTACATTGGCATCAGGTTCACTGTGAACATAGGCGTGGGAGATCCAGAAGGACGCGGCGACATCTCGGTACATTTCAACGTACGGCTGCCGCAGCAGTATGTGGTGCGCAACACGCGCCGCCATGACAAATGGGGCTTAGAGGAAACCACCGCTTTTAGGTAGGTAGGGCTTACGTCAAAAATCTAATATACCTACTAGGATTGCCATTCAAACTTTCTGGCGGCTTTGAAGTTAGCAATTTCTGACGCAGTATATGAAATGGAGTTTTGTAAGTCATTGAACTAAAACCTTCGCATAATTCCGCTTGCTGGTTACTTCGTAGATGATTTTCCTAGGGGAGGGTCCAGTTAAACTTTTATCTGGAATTTAAATTTGCGATTTGTTTACTGCTTCGCGATTTGCGCTAACTTAAAAGCCGCCATTAAATTTGAAAAGCACTTTAAGTTGGCTACGCTGATTTTACTCGATGCTTGATGATTAATAATTATATAATTTTTCCAGATTATTTCCATTTAAAATGGACCGTCCTTTCACGATAGAGGTGCTAGTTGAAGAGAAGGAAACTCTATGGGCGGTGGACGGGGAGCATTATTGCAGTTTTAGTCACAGAAATCCCAGTCCACTTGCTGCTACATGGGTGCAGGTGGCGGGTGTGAGAAACGCGACCTTACAAATTGGCAAAACATCCGAATATCCTACTTTGGCGGCCCCGCCAGTAGAGGTGAAAACTCAATTTTCAAACTCCTCATTTCTTAGATGAAAGATAAACGTTTTTTTTTACCTGCGGTTTCACTCGCATTTTCAATTCGGAGAAATAGGTAGCTTAAGTAATTGGGGTATCAATTTAACTAGTCTCAGTTAAGATCCAAACTGGTAACAGGTGCAGGTTTTTAAACTTATTAATTGACATCTGATCATCAAAGGGGGGGGCCTTTGCTGAGTGGCTAGAACCCTTAGCACGAACCATTATCAAATTCGAATACTTGAATTCGATCTAGATATACGTCAAATGTACAATTACAGTACCCTTAGCACGAATCAATATTGAATGGGCGCTTTAACGTTTGACCCAAAACTTTATCATTCATACATACATTAGCTAAGCTTTTTATTAAACAACGTTTGCGAGTCCGAAATGTCACTGTCAAATGTGTACTGATTTTTAGTTCTCGTTACGTACTTTGTGGCGCTGCTGTTCAAAGGACAATGGCGAAATATTTGTTGAAGGAAATCTTTAGCGTCTATAGATGTCATTATAAGAAATGTTAATAAAATAATCTCAAAAGATTTATTTGATAATTGAGGAGGGTTGTCTAAGTCAGGAATTAAAAACAAAAAAGGGAAACACAATTGACTATTTATTTTTTTTTTTTATTGTGGCTTGGCATCATGGCTGTTGAGCCATTTATTTTAAGTGACTTTAGTGATGAAATCAACATTTAATATGTTATTCGTATGTTTTGCATCGCTTTGCGCTTAAACTGTATTTAATGATCTATCAAAAATATCGGGAAACATTTTTTTTCAATATTTTACTGAAACCATAATGAATAATTATAATGCGAGCATAATGTCTCTGCTTAGCCCGATGGTTGACTGGTAGAGAATGCCATGTGGCATTAAGTCCGCCATTTGTTGTAAAATGACAATAAAGAGTAAATAAATAAAATAAATAAATAAACAATCAAATAAAACTAGTTTTTTACGGGTTAATGCACGAAACTTTATTTATTTATTGACGTTTCGTAGCCTTTACAGGCTACGTCGTCAGAATCAAATTTTATTTAATTTTGTCGAGCTACCTTCGAAAGCCTTTTTGTTGAGCGTTCGGTTATTTCATTGTTCGATTTTTAAATTTTTTATTGTCTATGTATGAATTTATTACTTGATTTAGTTAATAAAGTACTTTATATAAAATTCTTTTTGTAATTTTGAGTTTATTTATTTGACCCTAACTACCGTAAACTACCACCGGTTCCAAAATTGGGAGACCTTCCTGCAGTGTGTCTGCAAGACCAATAGATACTATTAGTTCTTTTTGTTTGCATAATTTAACATAAGAAGGAGATAGAAAGCTTCTCTTGAGTTGGTTTCGCCGGTTCTTCTCAGGAAGGTCTCCCAATTTTGGAACCGGTGGTAGTTTACGGTAGTTAGGGTCAAATAAATAAACTCAAAATTACAAAAAGAATTTTATGTAAAGTACTTTATTAACTAAATTAAGTAATAAATTCATACATAGACAATAAAAATTTTAAAAATCGAACAATGAAATAACCGAACGCTCAATAAAAAGTCTTTCGAAGGTAGCTCGACAAAATTAAATAAAATTTGATTCTGACGACGTAGCCTGTAAAGGCTACGAAACGTCAATAAATAAATAAAGTTTCGTGCATTAACCCGTAAAAACTAGTTTTATTTAATGAGTGATGTGCGTGAAAACCTATGAAACAAATAAATAAATAATCTCTACGATACAAAAAGAGTATGGCGTCAATTCTAACTAAAACTATAACTGTCACTGTCATGCTTGTCATCGAATTGTTGTTGTTTCTGTTGACATTATCGTTGCTTGTGCATAAGTGCATGCGTATTGCAAAGATTTAAATCGGCGTATTGTTTTTTCTGAGATTTGTTTTTTACGTGACTTGGTTTGAATTTGGACTTTCGAAATCTTTCCCTGCTACTGTTGAGTAGTGCTTGCCTAAGACTTCCGAATCTGATATTTTGGGTGACTTCTTGCTGTGGATTTGGACACGATTCTGTCCCATACTGTGGATTTTATTTCATTATCTACTATCTACGATATTATGTTCAAAGATGTGAAATAAAAAATAGATAAAAAAGTGTTTCATATTTAATTAATATCCCATTAATAGGTACACTATAGAAATCCTTTTTTATACTTTATTATTGCTGTGGGCCATTTCAAATTATTAAGTTACTTATACAACTTCTTACAGCACAGACATTGTATTCGAACACTTGTCTGTTAACTATTATTAAGTATTTTGACGCGGTTGGTCAGTACCTACGCTACGAAAAAAAATTATAAAAAACATTTTTTTTTCTATACTAATCTACGGAACTGTACTTCTATGGTTCCGTTCCACGTATTTTTTATTTTGATATAAAAATACTTTGAAACTACTTTTACTATTCGTTTTTGTATTAGGTATTTGGTATGACATAACCTCCAAAACTTCAAAGTAGAATATCTATAAATCTAGACTTGCTATTAATGCAATTCATTTATAGACGCAAAAAATAAATTAAAAAAAAAATTGTATGGGAGTTCGCCATTGTCCTTTCCATACAAAATTTGACATTGGCGTTTCGCACTCGCAACCTATTCTAATTCGATAATGGTTCGTGATAAGAAGCGTATACTCAGATACTATCTGTCTCTTTTACATTGCCGATCTATATAATAATAAATCTATGGTTGCAGGTACCATTGAGGCCGTCTGTAGACGCTCCTCCAGAATCGTTGGAGATAAATTGCTGGCGACCTAATGTTATCGCAACTCTGTCCAATGGAGTTCCAGAAGGACACCAAATAGTTATCCATGGGAGGTAAATATTAAATGGTTCCATTTACTTCAAACATTATTCATAGAGATGATTTTTGAGAAATTATCATACTTAATTGCGAGTAGATAACTCGTTAATATCAGCTACCTGCTATTACTACATTTGCCAATTTTTTATACATGTAGTAAAAGAAAAGGGCAATAAAAGGGCTCCCCCGCCACGACTTAGGCTGCCACAATTTTAAGGGATTTGGATAAATGTACAACACACACATAACTGTTTAGCTGTCAGTGGTAGGTACTTCCTGTCTTGGTTTTAGATCCATTTTATCGAAGCAACTGGTGTGGTGCATGTGAACCTACGCACGTACTCCTTTTTTTATTACGCAGGAAAACCTCTTTTTACAGAAGTTGGCGCGTTTTAGGGTACACTAACGAACGGACCTCACACCTAACCTCTCGCTAGCCTCACAGGTGCGAAACGGAGAAGCCGTTTAGCAGTCCGCGCGGCTAACGAGCGCTTACGGCATACTATCCCCTAAAAACCCTGCGAATACCCTCTACGCTGTTAAGGGCAGAACCGCGCGATCCCCGTTCAGGAACTTCATCGCGTCAGTCTAACCTCTCTCTATAAAAAATTACTTCTAGTTTGATGATGTCGGGGTATTTGGTGATATAATATGAGGGTACTGTGTGGTGGCACGTCCTACTCTTTAGAAAGATCGACTTATAGTATGATGATGCCGGGCTTTTGGTGATATAATATGAAGGTGGTAAGTGGCAGGTTGCGTCCGCTGCTGATCGACCGACCTGAGCGATCGACCTCATGGACTGCGAGCGCGAGTGACCGTTCCACAATGTCCTGATGCACGCGAACGTTAAACTCTCTCCTCCTTATTAATAAACAGGGAATAAGCTTAGACTACTTACGCCGTGTTTTGTCACTCAAGTGCCATTTGTCATTCAATGAACAAAGACAAAACATAGTGTAACTATTCCAGGCTTAGTCTTCATTTATTAATAAGTGGGTCTAGGTTTAAAACCCTGTAGTTTGATTATGTCCCGGTATTTTGTTGTAATATGAGTGTGGTATGGCAAGCTGCGTCTGCTGCTGCACTCGTTCGCGATCGACCTCATGGACTGTGCGCGCGAATGACCGTTCCCCAACATCCTGATGCACGCGAACGTTAAACTCCAAGGTTTAAAACCATGTTGTTTGATGATATCCCGGTATTTGGTTGTAATATGACGGGTGTATGGTAGGCTGCGTCTGCTGCTGCACTCTTTCGCGATTGACCTCATGGACTACGCGCGCGAGCGGCCGTTCCCCAACGTCCTAATACACGCGCAAGTTAAATTCTCTAGGATTGTATGTAGCCCTGTAGTTTGATGATATCCCGGTATTTGGTTGTAACATGAGGGTGGTATGGCAGGTTGCGTCCGCTGCTGCACTCGTTCGCGATCGACCTCATGGATTACGCGCGCGAGTGGCCGTTCCCCAACATCCTGATGCACGCGAATGTTCGCGCGCACGTGGAGTCTCAGAAGGATCGCCAGCTAGTTGTTTTCAACGCGTGGCTTGGTGCTTGGGGACCTGAGAGGAGGCAACGCACCGCCCGACTCGTGCCTGGTAGTAAGGTAAGGTGATCTTATGCATTCAGTATTTTCATATTGGGAAGCATTGAACTGCTTCAGTGCTAGGGTTCCCAATCTAAAAGGATTATTATCTATTTTATTAACTGAACACATTCTTTAATTTTAGATGTAAAAATCAAGCAGTTTAGTTTTTGATGTGTAACACCTTTCACCTTTTCCTGCAATTTGTGGGAGTGATTTCGTGAAATGGGACGGAAGTGTGTAACAGGAAGTCGCGAAAGTGCGCGCTATTTGATTTGATTTTAGAACATAATGTTCAAATGGCTTATTCCTTTTGTAGTGGGTTTTGTTCCTTTTTTTACTAATAAAAGGTGAGGTTTCAAATGTTACATCATACTTGATTTCTGTAAGGCTCGCTCGTATTTTTTTAGTTAAAATGAAAATAGGTATTTGTCTAATCTCGTTTCTTTAGTATTACCCAATAGTATTCATGTGTCATTCTAATCGTATCTTAAATTTTGCTAATCTCTTCTACAGTGCACGTTCAAAATAATCCGTGGTGGTGACGAATGGTCCGTATACGCTGACGACGTTCTCATAGGCGAGTTGGAATACAGGGCAGCTCCAGCGGGTGTGAAAGCGATCAGAGTACGGGGGGATTTCTATCCGGACGATATATACTTGTGTCCTGCAACCAGTTCTCCGATACGAGAACAGATCAGTTCTTGAACGAACGAAACTATGCCTGCGGGATATCGATGTCAAGCGGGAGTAATAGCGGTCAGAGTACGGGAATATTTCTATCCGGGCGATATATACTTAAGTCCTACCATAAGTTCTCCGATACAGGAACAGATCTTCTTGAACGAACGAAAGTATGCCTGTGGGATGTCGAAGGGTATGAAAGTGGTCAAAGTACGGGGAGATTCTATCCGGACGATATATACTTATGTCCTGCTTCCAGTTCATCGCTACGGGAACAGATCAGCTCTTAAACGAAAGAAAGTATGCCTGCGGCATATAAACATCAAGCGGATGTGAAAATGGTCAGAGTACGAGGGGATTTCTACGCGGACGATAAATACTTGTGTCTTGCCACAAACTCTCCGATACGGGAACAGATCACTTTTTGAATGAACGAAATTCATAAAATTCTGCGGCGTATCGTTATCAAGCGGAAGTAAAAGTGATCAGAGTACGAGGTGATTTCTGTCCGGACGATTTATACTTGAGACTTGCAACTATCTCACTGCTTCTGGAATAAATCACCTCTTGAACGAACGAAACGTATGCTTGCGGGATATCGATGTCTAATTTTAATATTGCTGCGCCTGATTCCTACTCTATATTCTATTGTTTCGAATGTCATAGAGTACCAAGGGCACGCCTAGATTAAGAATACTACGCCAGAGTGTTGGCATTACGCGGATGGTGCTTCTGGAGATCTAAAATTGCGAGATTAAGAAATATTAAATGACAAGATATTTCATGTAACATTAAACGAACATAACATGAAACAAATGTCGCTATTTCAGACCTCTGGTATCGCGAGCGTTTAAAGCGTCCATTGGCTGCGGTACTGCTTGCCGATTTGTGTATGCGGATCTCATGCTTGTTTGTAATTATGACGGCACTTCACTTAGCTATTCGTATTTGCAATTCGTAAACTTGACAGAAGTCTGTCCTTATCTTAGTTTTATAAGGAATGAAAAGGATAGGCTGATGTCAAAAATCAAAAACAAAAGCTGCGGGAGTACCTAAGATACCTACTTACTACTGCATCTTAAATCTTATTTTCATCCCACCACCTCGGAAAGTGTAATTTTGCGCTTCGAAATCTGGCTGGAAAATTCTATTTTATTCGCTTGAGCGGCAAAGTAGATTTGAATTTAGAACATCACATATAATGAGTACTCAATATAATTGTAAATTCAAAACGTCATTAAACCTATTTAATGTAACCTCTATGGTGCCAAATTTATGATTAGAACTTTTTAAATTGTGAAAAAATTTAAATTTGGAACCTTCTTGGTTTCTTTGTTTTATTTGCGTGCTTCGCGCCATTCTAGTTTTTCACGTTTTATTGCTTAAATATTTTGTCATTATAAATTGTTTTCTTTTTCATTTTGTCATTTCCTCGCTGAGGTGGGATGAAAAGTTACGTATTGCACTCGAGTGGAAAGATTTTTCACCTTGTGCTCGTTTGTTTCCCTCGCTGACGCTCAGGATTCTAATTTAGAATCACTCGCTGCGCTCGTGATTCAACTTTAGAATCCTTCGCTTGCTCGGTCATCCAAATCGAGCACGCGGTTAAAAAGGAACTTTCCACTCTTGTATAATAAATAACTATTATACTCTAATATTCATAGAAAGTTTATTTTTAATTCGTCACATAGAAATCACTTGCAACGTTCTGATGGCCCTTTACTAAAAGAAAAAGCAACCGAGTTGTGTATGACTTGTAACCCATTATAGGCGTCAGACATTTTGTTTGTCCAGTCGAGTCTGCGACATAAAATTTATTACTTAAAGTATTGTTGTCAAAAAGTCTAGTGTGTGCCTTGCTCTTGTGGAAGAAGTTATTGGCTTTGCAACGGATATTAGGTGATAAAGAAATGTGTCTTATTATTATTTTACTTAGAATTTTGCTAGAGCCTACGTAGGACTACCCCCCCCCCCCCCCCCCCCCCCCCCGGGTAAATCAGCTATACTTCGGGGGAAACAAAAAACCTAATTATTTGGTCATATCTAAATAATAAGAAAATACACTACACCTTGCTTCTTGCTAGCGAGACCGCGGGGTGCTGAGTGAGTTTAAAAATGATAATACTCTTTGCCACCACCTACAGATGCGAGGGTGGCTTAAAGTTGAACTTTAATTACCTCCATTAAAAACAAAGGCCAGAAACCGTCTTGTGACACAGGATTTGAGATGCACTTTAAGTAAAAGTAAACCTTACAAAAAAAATATAAATGCAAGACAATTCCAACCTTCACAATGATTATTATTATTAATCCATAGTTTAAATATGAAACAAGGTAAAATTGTAATACTGTTCTGCAATTTGTGTTTTTATGTAGCCTGTTTTGATAAATAATAATAAATTTGTGATTGATAAACATATTAAAATTTGCTTGTATTGTTTGCTATGATAACATTTTAAAGTCGGGGTAAAGTCTGTTTTCCTGATACGTTACAGGGGTAGCAGTATTGGAAAGGAAGGGAAACACTGCTCTAGGGTTACGGATAGTATACATATACTGATACATTTAAAAGAATATTTTAGATTTATTTATTTTATTGAAGTGACTTTAAAAATGCATTACATCACTTATCAAGTATTAAGTTTATTATTATCAAATATAATTATCATTGTTTAAGAGTTTTTATACATTTTTAGAGTTGAAATGCCGTATTTCTCTCCTTAAATTTTGAGCTCGCTTCTTTGTGAAATCAAACCAAAAGAGAATTTATGGTATTGATAAGATATGTCAAATATCACGAAGCTTAGATCAATAATGAACGATCCAGTTTCTCTATAGGTAGGCTAGGTACCAAGATCCATTTTACAGGGCAAATGATGAACTTACTTTTAATTTCAAGTGAAATACATATCTGTAGGGGTCTATTCACTAAGTGCTTTTCACAGATGGAAGTGAAAATCAACGAGCTATTTAGTGATCCACTGCTGCTTTATTATAACGCCACTAAGATACTTGTTCTGAAAAGCATCGGTGGATATGCAATTTTATCTTTAGTTACACACTGTAAATATCAAAACGAATTGGCCGGCAGGAGTGTTTCCGGTATGACTCCAGGATTAAACTTATTTTAAGCGATTGTATTAGGTACCTATAAAAACATACCAAAGAGAATGTGAATCAATACGTACAGTAATACCATAGAACTGTTTCTTTGTGACCTGTGTCTTTTGACAAATTTCGCTGTAATTGGTGAGACTATCGTACATATATCGATCAGTATATCATTTCTTTTTATTACTTTCTGCACCTTACAGAACATTAGTAGGTGGTATAATGGGGTAGAGAAATATATAAACTTATATGTATTCACTATTGAGTGAAAACAAACACTTTAAGGGAACTTCATGTGTTGAAAACTGTATATATGTAAATAAATATTCATAAATTCAAAACAATGTTAATATAAAACTCAACAGTGGCCACCTACCTAACTCTTTAACCTGCTAAAATATTTACTGGTAGCAATAATACCACAGTATGATTATTGTACTAATGTATAGAATAAAAAAGCTTATCTTGAGATGTACTTGCGAAGATACAATAATACAAACAATAACAATACTAAGACAATAATATTACTTGACATCCACGCAAGTAAATGTCGCTACAAGATTATTTATATTAAATTACATTCTCTAATGTCAAAAATAACGAAAATTTAATTAAGAGCTTGTTTTTAAAAATATTATTCTTTTTAATATTAAATTATTATGTTGATGCAGGGCCGGATGTAATGGGCCTACCACACGCACGAGCTTTGCCTGCGTAGGCCGGTTTGTACACGGAACACTGTGCGTGTAGTTGGTAAAACTGTATCACGTGCCAACCCCACAGGCTGTGGGGTGCGAAAAATGCGCAGGCCGCGCTGTGGGCCACAGCGCGGCCTGCGCATTTTTCGACTTGCTTGAAATTTTGCCTGCGCGTACTTGTCTGTGCGTGTGGTTGGGCGTTCAGTGTTCAAGCCACAGTCGAGTGTACTTTGTGTCGAGGCTCGCTCGTCGTTTCATGAGGTCGTTCGTCATCGTCACTCAAAAATGGCAGATTTGCGTACGTACAATCGCGAATTCACGTCTGAATTAATTAGTTTGTACAAATATCTGCCTGCACTCTGGAAAATTAAATCTAATGATGGCCACATACGTACCGGTATACCTGAACGGTATACCGAAACTGAAGACTTGTGCAAGTATACCTGACGTATATAGTGACCACACACGCTGCAAGTATAACTGAGACTGTCTCAGTTCTGCGCCTGTGACAAACCGAAGAAGTCGTGTTGTGCAATACGTTTTTTGTGAAATATGCCACCGGTTCTATCTCCACTCACAAATGATGACGCTTTGGCTATTGTTGGTTTGGTGCTGGCTCTTAAGAAAAGGGAGAAGAGCAAAAAGAAACGTTCTGTATGGTGTAAAAAATGGTTATTAAAAAGAAAAATGTATTCCCACACCAACCTTTTAAATGAATTAAAATTTGCTTCGAAAGGACTGGAACAATTATTTGCGTATGGATGAGAATACATATTTGGAACTTTTGTCTCTAGTAACGCCATTGATACAAAAGAATGACACTGTAATGCGCCAAGCGATAACACCGCATGAGAGGTTAACAGCAACTTTGAGATTCCTGGCGACTGGTAGAAGTTACGAAGATCTGAAGTGTTCAACAATAATATCACCTCAAGCTCTAGGCATCATTATCCCTGAGACATGTAAGGCTATCTATGAAGTACTTCGCACAGACTATTTGAAGGTAAGTAAAACCACAAGATTATAATCAAAAGTTTACTTTTATTCAAAGAAATAGAGAGGCAGAGTCTTAATCAGATACATGAAATAATAATTAAGTCTAATTAATTTTCAATGAAATATTTAAGTCAATTCTGAATAAAATTTGAATAAAATGTTGCTGTTGTTAGTTGTGTATCCAATTCTTCTTGTTGTGGTGATGAGGCCTGGTTTAGTACTGCAGGAGAAGTAGGTTGATGTTGAGTGTATTGTTGAATTGGAGAAGCGCAGGGCTGACTTTGGGGTGCAGAAGAAATCGTGTAACTTTGTTGATGATTGTTGTACTGTTGTATCGGAAAGACGTAGGGTTGAGATGTTTGAGGCACAACAGAAGCGGCGTGAGTAAACGGTTGTGTATTATATTGTTGAATTAGTGAGGGCGAAGGACTTGGAGTTCGTGAAAGACTAGGAGTTGGCGATGAAATAAAAGTTAAACTTCGACGATTCTGAATTGATTCGGTATTCAGATTGCCCATTTCAGCATCAAATAGGGTGTCGTTAATTATTTTCTCCGCAATCAAGCGTTGACGTTTGTCTAATGATCTTAATTTAATTGCGATAGATCTTCCCAAAAGATCGTACCGATCTTCTATTGCTGAAGCAGGACGTTTAAAATGGTCTTTCACGGATAGTAATATATCTGTGGTTAGCTGATCTTGTTCATTAATTTTCTTTCTTCCCGGTCTAGTAGCAGGCACTGAAGTCTTCTTAGGTGTCGTAATATCATCTGTATTCCTTGTACTAATATTTGCAGGAGCATCACAATCTGATGTATTATTATCTATGATATTTTCACTATTTTCAGTTTCAGCTCTCTCAGTTTCTTCTGTCTGTAACAATAAGTACAAAAATTACAATACAAAAATCTCTATTTACTTGAGTGTAGTGTGTACAAAATGCTTGAGTGTTGTGTGTTGAGCGTGTATGTGGTGTGGTGTGTTGTGCGTGAGTGTTGTGTGTTGTAAGTGTATGTGGTGTGTTGTGCATGTGAAGGGTGTGTGTGTTTGTACAAATTAATGTGAGTACACTTCAAACGTTTAGTAACCTACAGGGACCTTACTCACTTCACTTTTATTAATATTTGTTTCAGTTTCCGAAAACAGAAGAAGATTGGAAAGATATCGCAAAAACCTTTGAAGACAGATGGAATTTTCCTCACTGTATCGGCTCAATCGACGGGAAACATATAGATATTATTCCACCGAGTGAAAGCGGATCTTATTATTACAATTACAAAGGGCGGCATAGTATGGTTCTATTAGCAATTGTGGATGCCAAATATCGATTTATTATGTGTGATTTTGGCACAAATGGCAGAGTATCAGATGGCGGTGTTCTACAAAATACTGTTTTCTTCAAGAAACTTGAGAGAAATTTATTAAAGATTCCGATGGAAGAAAAAATTAACAACAGCTTAAAAGTATTGCCATACGTTTTCGTAACTGATGATGCGTTTCCTTTGAGGTGTGATATGATGAAGCCATTTAGACAAGCGGACTTGAATTCACAAAATAGAAAGATCTTCAACTACCGTTTGTCTCGAGCGAGGCGCATAGTTGAAAATGCGTTCGGTATATTGGCGGCTAGGTTCAGAATTTTCCACACACAAATTAATATAGAACCAAATAATATTGAATCTGTAGTAATGGCGAGTTGTACTTTGCACAACTTTCTAATCGCTCATTCACGTAATCACTACATGCCTTCTGAATGTTTTGACCAAGAAAATTTAGAAAATGGAACTATCTTGCCAGGGTTACATGCGGGTGACCACATGATCCCATTAAATAGAAGGGGATATGGGAATACTGCACTCAATGCAAAGAATATTCGGGAACAGTTTATGGATTACTTTAGTAATGAAGGCAGTGTTCCTTGGCAAAATAATTTCATAAATTAAAAATTAATAAATAAATAGTATTAGAATTGAATTTATTTTGTTTAATTTTTTGTGAAGCCAGAACATAAATCTTACCGTAGATTCCTCTGATTCTTCAGTCAAGTTCGATTGAGATGTTCTTGGTGTCTCTTGGTCGCGGACAAAA